TATCATGTGAAAAATCTCATTCAGCAAAAATTATGTCAAATCTCCCACAGCCTGCTTGGCTAACTAGCCTGCTTGGCTAACCAGCCTGCTTGGCTAACCAGCCTGCAAATCACACAGCCCAAAACAAGCCTGAAATGAATCCTAACAGAGGCAAACGAAACATTCTGACGAACTGTACCGAGTTCGTTTTACAAACTCACGAACTTTTCTCAGCGGATGACGCCCCACCCGTGGCCACACAAGCCCTCCAACACACAAGTGACACATGCCAGTCATGGCTAGCCGTGGCTCATAATACATGTACTGGAGGTAAACCAACACCTCCAAAATGAAATGAGAAAGTTCCGACTCAAACCTGAAAGTTAACTTGATTATTCGTGAAACAACCAGGAATTGGACAATCTGCAATCAATGTCTTGGTTAGAATAGCTGTGGTAATGAGGGCATGCCTGGGGCTGGGGGTGGCTGGCTGCGTGGCTTGGCTGTGCGTGTCTATGCATTATTAGTTGCAGCAGTACCAGCACGGGACTGCATGTATCTACGCTTGCATCGATCAAGGTTCGACACGGTGACGTAGCGAATCGAATTTTTTCAACTCCCCTTCGGAGCGAACCTAGTCAAACGTTCTAATATTCATTTCAAAGCTACACGAAAAGACTGTGATTCTGCTACAACGTGTGAGCAAAAAAAGAGAGAAGAGAAATAACACATTGAAAAAAAAATCCAGTCTACACTGAAAATACTCTGGGATAAGAATAACAGAACACGGCTGGCAGCAATACTCTCTCTCGCCGCAATATCACTTATGTGCAGGTAGCACCAGGATGCAAATGACGATACCAGTTCACAGAATAGTAACTTGGTCTCCACTGCTGTACAGGCTGATGTAGAGGTAGAGTTCCCCTGTCACATTGCTCAGTGTCTGGGTTGCTCCAGTACGCTCATGACGACCGACTAACGTGTGATTGTCACAATCCAACGACATATGAATGACGTCACCGGCTTGCCATCGCTGACCCAGAGCACTGCCTGTCCAGTCACCACCATCACCGGTGCTGTAGCCATACCATCCAAACGATGTGGTCTTTCCTCTTTGATAGCCGTCTAGCAGTGGACGCTGGGGATTGCACAAGAAGAACATGTGGTGAACTTTACCAGCCGTGATGCGATCAAGACGGAGGGATATCTCGTGTTTGCCGCTACTCCATTTCCTCACGCCACATACTGACCTCCAGTTACCGCTAGCAGCAGCTCCACGAGTAACCGTTCGGTTGTTGTTTGACAGTGCAAGATCAGCATGGCATTGGCCGGGATCAAACTGTGGTAGCAGATCCACGATGGTAACCATTGCAGGACTTCCAGCTACATGGTGATCTCCAATCATGGCTGATACCTGCACTGAACCCTTCTTTCCGGTCGTCTTGTACGTTGCAATCATGTTAGTGCCTTCATTAGGACTATTGTCGGGCATCAGCACAGGATGAATGGTGTCGGTGGTGGTGTTGTCCGGCGATGTTACTTCAACGTGAACACCAGACAAATGTGCCTCTGTCACAGCCAGACTATCACCGTGGCCATTCCTTGGCTCAATGATCACGGTAAGGTCGTCTCCCTCCTGAACACGGGCTGCAGTAGTCATGCTACTCTTCTCCGATGACAGCATACCAATGTCAATCACCACACCAGTTCTGGCAATGGCCGCAGTAAGCTCCTCGGCGTGGTGTGGTGAAAACAATAGAGTTCCCAGAGCAAACCCCTTCACATCTCTCTCGGACGCACTCACAGCATTCTTCGCTGCTTCCTCCAGCCATCCACTCATTTTCAAGAAGTTCATATCCTCATTGCAGTTTTCTACCAGATGTTGAACTTTCTTGCTATACGATGCACCAGCAAGTACTTGCCGCTTCTGCTCTTCAAGGGGAAGAAGATGTGACAACTGCAATCGATCCACCTCATCCAGAAGCTCCTGCTGACGGTTTTCAATGGCTTTCTTGAGACCACCAAAAACGTAGCTGATCCGAGATGTCACGTGTTCAGTCTCATTACGGAGTCCACTCAGTGCCGCTTCCGACTTCTTGATCGACTCATCAAAAACACTGCCACTTCCATGTGATGTGCTAGTCAGCTTGGAATTCAAAGACTGACGAATGCTAGAAGATGCATCAGTGATAGTCTGCACATTGTGAGCAGCATGATCACCACTGCTTACACATTGCTTACACACTAGCTGCTCACAACTCAAGCAATACGAACACTGTACAAACGAGGAGTGGAATGAGCATTTGTACTGGCTGGCTGATGTTCTATCACCTGTATATCCTGCAGCCTCACTGAGTGGCACAACCTTGTGTTTGTATGATCTGCGTGAGGTTGGATGCACCCTGGCATGGTCAGTGCAGAAATTGTCACCACAGTCCTTGCAAACAGCTACTGCTGCTGTATCCTCAGCACATTCATCACACAACTTCTTACGGCCAGCACTTGCAGCAGCTACCTCCTCCCCAACTCCATCACTAGACACATCACTGTCTGGCAGGTACTGCAGCAAGGGCACTCCTCCTTGTGGTGGTGGAGTGGTTGCTCCACATTCAGGACAACCCACAGAGCCCTTGCCACTGATGTGTTTTTCCAAACACTCCACACACAACGAGTGCAGACACTTCAACAGTTTGCCATGCTTACTACTACTTCTACATGACCCACACTCTGGTCTGGACATGGCTGAAAGATATTCTCAATAAGCACTTCACTGAAAATAAACTTCTACAGCAAGAACAAATCTCAGAATTATCAGTTCGAAAAACAGAAGTCGAGTCTGAACAACAACAGTACAGCAGCTTTCGCCGGCGAAGAATCTCCGAGAGTGAACAAAGGCACAGGCAGGTGTGCGTGCAATGCCCAAACTGTCTTACTAACGTTATGACAGATCAATACATGGCGTTCTCCTGCACTGCAGGGCCTTGGAACGTTTTTTTGGCGCACTCTTGTCAAAGATAAGCCAGTCAGCCTGTCAAGGCATGTGACAAGTTTTACAAAGCACACGTACTGATCAAGCCATGGGTGATAGCAGCAAGCCTGGTCTCCTGCCAGTTGATACTAGAAGACTAGAAGACTAACAGTAGTAGTATCCTTGCATGCACACTCATCTGATACCTACATGTACAGACGACGTACCCGAATGGTGTTACAGACAAACCTTAGCCTCACAAATCTACAATCATAGTACAGTAGGTATCGGTTATAGCGTGGGTGTTTGAAAAACGACTTTCTATTCTTATTTCCGATATTTCTTACACATGATAAATCAACTGTGACATATCATGTGCATGTGCGCAGAGTCAGGAAGATCATCGTACATGCAATGTAGTGTGCATGCGGCTCTTCACAGTCACATAGGCTTACCATGTGGCTATGCAACGTGAGTTACATGACCACAACAGTTGAACCTGCAGCACTACGTAGTCTACGACCCAACGCGAGTCGGATCAGACTTGCATTGGACAGATGTTATTACTACAGGCGATAACCTTTGTACTAAATCTGGTATGTTTTGCTACACAAAGTCCATTCTTAGGACCGATATATTCTACTGTCCGATAAAATTGCTTGTAAGAATAAATGTGCACTTGAAACCCATGTTATGATTATGAAAACATGAGAGTTCATTCTTGTAGGTTGTAGGCATGGCAGTATATTCTTTTACACGACCACGCTATAACCGATACACACTGTACTTCAACACATGGCCTTTGACGGGGGGGGGGGGGGGGGGGGGGTAAATACGGAGCATGACGTGGATCCCATAGAAGTTGGAACAGTGGGTAACATTGCTGCACGGAGATACATATCAGCAATAGAGATGCTCTGCTCTGTATAACAGGAACGGAATGGGACGCAAAGACTCCCATTGATCGCTCTTCGCCTATCCGTAACGTACGAGAAACCTGTTGGGCTCCATGTTGACGGGTACCAGAATGCCCTCTATACCAGGGTGGCAGATGCAGTGCCTAACGGCGACGGTGAGGTGGTAACTCTCACGACCAATGCCCGACAGGGGGCCAACCTCGTTAGCTGCATCTATGTTGCCCTCACTCCGAGTAGTGAGTAACCAGTTGCCTGTGGGTGTTGCCGCAGTTCATTGCATGTAAATTGGTTCACGCATGCATCACTGCATTTGTTAAAACAGGACACACTACCAGCTCCCAGTGCAGGTCTCGAACTCGGGACCTTGTGATTCGCAGGCAAGCCAACAAACACTCGGCCAGAGCGATGGTACTTTGTTGTCAAGCTCTCCAAATTATGTGGCATAAAGACCAAATAATTACTTGTTCCTGCGTCCCGGGGCACAAAAAGACTGAGATTCGGTTAAAATGTGTGAGCAAAAAAAGAGTTATTATTATTATTATTATTTGCCTCTCCGCGTTTGCATCAGGGTGTGTTACTACAAAAATCAACAAATCGACATAATACACATCCACCCCTAGCATTCGCTCAGGCCGCTCAACAAGTCAAAAGACAGTAAGGACAAGAGAAAGCGAGGGAAGGGTCACAGAGCAGCGGGGTCGAAGGCAGGAAAAAAGAAACAGGAGGCAAAGGATATTGAAGAAATATATCAGATTGTCCATTGAATTCACCATACATCATGTCATGTTCCGTTTGGGCAAATCTGGGCATTCCTCTGCAGGCTCAGGTGCGGAAAAGCTGCCGCCATACTGCTCTGTCCTCTGCCAGGTCCCTGATGTGTGAGAGATCTTTATCCGTCTGCAGCTTCATTCCCTTTGTTGCGAGGTCCGTTCTCAGTATTGTTGGGAGTGTGGAAGGCGGCCGGCCACGGAATTTTTTCTCCTCCTTTGTTTGCCGGAAGTATGATGTCATAGCCATTTGTGCTGGGGACTCCTTGTCCAGTCTGCAGATGTGACCGAGTAGTCGCATCCGAGCAGCTTTAACCAGGACAGTTAGGGGCTGTGTCTCTGTTCTGCGGTGGAGGTCATCGTTGCTGATTATCTGTGGGTAGCGGATACCCACAACAACTCTCAGGTGTCTCCGATATGTCGAGTCAAGAGTACACAGCTGAGAGTCTGAGAGGCCCCATGTGCCTGCGTTGTACATCAGCAGAGGCTTGATGAAGGCTTCGTAGAGCCTCACCCGTAGCTTTTCGGAGACCAGATGTCCGCGTGACCACAATGGCCACATCTTGTTGAATGTGCCCGAAGCAATCTGGATTCGGCGTGCGACATCCTCTTTGTCTCCAATAAGGGATCCAAGCTTGCGTGTGCGCCTCCACTCTTCCTCCACTCGGTCCTTCTTCCTCTGGATAGTAGTGCGTTCTGTTTTGGCTTGGTTAACTTTCAGGTCCCAGTCCGCGAGGCAGTCGCCAACAATAGGAAGGATCGAGTCCAGGTACTCAGAACTGGTGCTGACGAAGTCCACATCATCGGCATAACCTAGGGACGGCGGCAGGTTGAGGGTGATGTCTAGATTAGGTCGAGGTGGAATACAGGAGAAAACATGGCGCAGTGCAGTCTCGAGGTAGATGATGAATAACACGGGTGACAGCGAGTCACCTTGTGGGGTGCCAGATGTTGTTGCAAATGGTCGGCTTTGGGTATTTTTGATGCGTGCTGATAGTGTTGTATCTGAAACCAGGAGCTGGACCAGGCGCACCTCATCTGGCTCCAGGAATGACCGCAACACATTGACGAGTTTCCGGCGACTAATAGTGTCAAAGGCGCGGGACATATCGATACCCAGAATACTTATACTGGACTGCAGGTGCTGGCAGCGTGCAGCGATCCATCGATGAGCCCATACTACATCTGTAGTGCTTCTATTCGGTCTGAACCCACTCTGCATTTGCGATACATAAGCTTGAACTCGGGGGGTTATTCGTGCTAGAACCACTAAAGAAAGTACCTTGCGCAGGGCATTGAGCAGAACAATGGGTCTCAGACTACTTCCCGGGCCTCTTGGTTTTCCTGGCTTCTGCAGCGGGATTAACTCGCCACTGCCAAGTGTCAGGTGTTGTCCTGTCTCAACGCACATGGTGTACAGTTCGGCAAGATATGTGAAAAGGCTGTCAGGCGCATATTTGAATAGTTCTGCTGGGAGTTTGTCTGGCCCAGGTGACTTGTTGTTCTTTAGCCGTGCTGCTGCTCTCCTCACTTCGATCGTCGCGATTGGCTTTTCCATTTCGCCCATGTTATAGTCAGCCATGCTCAGTCTCTCTTGGTCGCTATTTGAGAGAGCAGCGTGGAAGTGCTCTGCTATCTTTTCAGCCATTTCCTCAGGTTGGACTATTAGCCTGCCATCTTGGTCAGCCACAACGGCCTGCTTGGTTCTGTTCTTGTGTAGCTGTTGTACAGCTCTGAACATTCGGGCATCATCCTTCAGCTGTTCGATCTCTGATACTTTTCTGTCTAGGTCTGCAGATGCACATTCCTTGGCTCTACGTCGCAGTTGGTGCGAGACTTGGTTTCTCTCCTCACGGAGTTTCTGTATCTGGTGGGTGTCCTGAGCGTTCATCGTGCGGAGTCGCAGATTTTTCATCTTTTCCGAGAGTTCTTCCATCACCGTATCCCAACCGTGTCTATAACGCCGTGTCAGCTTCAGTTCTCCCGCAGCTGCCAATCCCGAGGCATGCATCATTCCTGCAACTGAAGTCCAGCCTTCATCAAGGTGTTCCTTCTCCAGGGGAGGTAGTGTTGTAACATGCTTTTCAACTTGGTCCCGATAGCGCTGTCTTCTCTCTGCGCTGGCTGTCAACTGCTGCACATCCATTTTCTTCCGACTGTCTTGCGGGGTATGCTTTCTCGGTGACGTTAGGACGTAGAATTTTGGTAGGTCAAAGGTAGCAATCACCAAGCGGTGATCGCTACAGGTAGACGTTCCAGCATATGACCGTGCATTCAGAAGAAGGCTCTTCTGGGAATTTTGGCACAGTACGAAATCGATTTGATTATACACCTTGACCGTGATTCCTGATGCTAATCTCCGAGTCATTGACCATGTTGTGGTATGACATGCTCTGTGCTGAAAAGCTGTGTTGGCAGCAAATAGTTGATGGGACCCACAGAATTCTGCCAAAGCAAGACCAGTGTAGTTTCGTCGTCCGCGTCCATGCTGGCCAATGCAGTTGAATGCTGTACTAGGTCTGCCCAGTTTAGCGTTAAAATCCCCAGCTACAAACAGTAGACTGGATGACGATTCAATATCTGTGAGCGCCCTCTCAAGACTGTCGTAAAACTCCTCCAAATAGTCATGCGACGTCGCAACAAGTCCCGACGTCGGCGCGTAGACGTTCACTACGGAAATGACGCTTTTAGCTACTTTGAATTGCGCTACTGCGACTCGGTCGGAAACCACCCAGTGACGAACAAATTTGTCCGACAGACGCCGTGACACAACGAAACCGAGCCCGTAGTGACGGCTCGTTGAAGGAAGCAGCAGCAAGCGGTAGCCGTCCTGACAATAGTCGACCCCCTCCGGCGCTTTCGTCTCCTGCAAGCAGCAAACGTCCAGCTTGTAGTTTTTCGCGTCCTCGATAATTTGGTGTTGTTTACTCCGAGAACTTAGTCCACGCACATTGAAGCAGGCCAAGTTGAATTTATTCAGGCCTTTGAAACCTCTATTCCCACTCATTGTCCGTTACCGACTCTGTCCGTTACCGACTCTGTCCGTTACCGACTCTGTCCGTTACCGACTCTGTCCGTTACCGACTCTGTCCGTTGAACGTTTAGACCAATATCATCCCCAGCAAGAAGCAGGAGATGGAGAGAAGAGTCACCCGTCTCTCAAACCTCAAAAAAGAGTTACAAGCTTGAAAAGATCCAAGTCCCTCAACAGGTACGTCCAAACAGTGAATACATAGTCATTGTATCTAATGTACACAGAAAATACTCTGGGACAAGAATAACAGAACACGGCTGGCAGCACTACTCTCCCTCGCCGCAATATCACTTATGTGCAGGTACGGCCAGGATGCAAATGACGATACCAGTTCACAAAATAGTAACTTGGTCTCCACTGCTGTACAGGCTGATGTAGAGGTAGAGTTCACCTGTCACTTTGTACAGTGTCTCGGTTGCTCTGGTACGCCCATGACGACCGACTAACGTGTGATTGTCACAATCCAATGACATGCGAATGACGTCACCGGCTCTCCATGGCTGACCCAGTGCACTGCCTGTCCAGTCACCACCACTAGTCCTATTGCTGTACCATCCAAACGATGTGGTCTTTCCCGTTTGCCAGTCGTCTAGTCGTGGATGCTGGGCATTACACAAGAAGAACATGTGGTGAACTTTACCGGCAGTGATGCGATCAAGTCGAAGGCATATCTCGTGTTTGCCGCTACTCCATTTCCTGATGCCACATACTGACCTAAGCTGCTTGTTGCAAGCAGCTCCACGGGTAACCGTACGGTTGTTGTTAGACAGTACAAGATCAGCATGACATTGACTGGGATCAAACCGTGGTTGGGGGTCCACAATGGTAACCATTGCAGGACTTCCAGCTACAGGGTGATCTCCAATCATGGCTGATACCTGCACTGAACCAATCTTTCCGGTCGTCTTGTACGTTGCAATCATGTTAGTGCCTTCATTAGGACTACGATTGGGCATCAGCACAGACTCAATGGTGCTGGTGGTGTTGTCCGCAGATGTTACGTCAACATGAACACCAGACAAATGTGCCTCCGTCACAGCCAGACTATCACCGTGGCCATTCCTTGGCTCAATGATCACTGTAAGGTCGTCTCCCTCCTCAACACTGGCTGCAGTAGTCATGCTACTCTTCTCCGATGACAGAATACCAATGTCAATCACCACACCAGTTCTGGCAATGGCTGCAGTCAGTTCCTTGACATGGTATGGTGAAAACGATAGAGTTCCTGGAGCAAAGACAGTCACATCTCTCTCGGCCGCACTCACAGCATTCTTCGCTGCTTCCACCAGCCAGCTACTCATCTTCAAGAAATTCACATCCTCATTGCAGTTCTCTGCAAGATGTTGAACTTTCTTGCTATACAAGGCACCAGAAATTACCTGCCGCTTCTGCTCTTCGAGGGGGAGAAGATGTGACAACTGCAATCGATCAATCTCTTCCAGAAGCTCCTGCTGACGTTTCTCAATGGCTTTCTTCAGAATACCAAAAACGTGGTTGATCAGGGAGGACACAGTTTCTGTCTCATCACGGAGTCCACTCAGTGCCGCTTCAGACGTCTTGATTAACTCGTCAAAAACACTGCCACTTCCATGTGATGTTCTAGTCAGCTGGAATTTCAAGGACTGGCGAATGCTGGAAGATGCATCAGTGATAGTCTGCACATTGTGAGTAGCATGATCACCACTGCTTACACATTGCTTACACACTAGCTGCTCACAACTCAAGCAATACGAACACTGTACAAACGAGGGGTGGAATGAGCATTTGTGCTGGCTGGCTGATGTTCTATCACGTGTATGTCCCGCAGCCTCACTGAGTGGCACAACCTTGTGCTTGTAAGTCCGGCGAGATGCAGGATGTGCTTCGGCATGCATGGCACAGAGACTGTCACTGCAATCCATACAAACAGCAACTGCTCCAGTATCCTCAGCACATTCATCACACAATTTTCTGGACGGTGTAGTAGCAGTAGCCTCATTCCCATCACTGGAAACATCACTGTCTGGCAGGTACTGCAGCAAGGGAACACCAGCAGATGATGCTGGAGTAACTGTTCCACATTCAGGACATCCCACAGAGCCCTTGCCACTGATGTGTTTTTCCAAACACTCCACACACAATGAGTGCAGACACTTCAACAGTTTGCCATGCTTATTGTTACTTCTACATAATCCACACTCTGGTCTGGACATGGCTGAAAGATATTCTCAATAAGCACTTCACTGAAAATAAACTTCTACAGCAAGAACAAATCTCAGAATTATCAGTTCGAAAAACAGAAGTCGAGTCTGAACAACAACAGTACAGCAGCTTTCGCCGGCGAAGAATCTCCGAGAGTGAACAAAGGCACAGGCAGGTGTGCGTGCAATGCCCAAACTGTCTTACTAACGTTATGACAGATCAATACATGGCGTTCTCCTGCACTGCAGGGCCTTGGAACGTTTTTTTGGCGCACTCTTGTCAAAGATAAGCCAGTCAGCCTGTCAAGGCATGTGACAAGTTTTACAAAGCACACGTACTGATCAAGCCATGGGTGATAGCAGCAAGCCTGGTCTCCTGCCAGTTGATACTAGAAGACTAGAAGACTAGCAGTAGCAGTATCCTTGCATGCACACTCATCTGATACCTACATGTACAGACGACGTACCCGAATGGTGTTACAGACAAACCTTAGCCTCACAAATCTACAATCATAGTACAGTAGGTATCGGTTATAGCGTGGGTGTTTGAAAAACGACTTTCTATTCTTATTTCCGATATTTCTTACACATGATAAATCAACTGTGACATATCATGTGCATGTGCGCAGAGTCAGGAAGATCATCGTACATGCAATGTAGTGTGCATGCGGCTCTTCACAGTCACATAGGCTTACCATGTGGCTATGCAACGTGAGTTACATGACCACAACAGTTGAACCTGCAGCACTACGTAGTCTACGACCCAACGCGAGTCGGATCAGACTTGCATTGGACAGATGTTATTACTACAGGCGATAACCTTTGTACTAAATCTGGTATGTTTTGCTACACAAAGTCCATTCTTAGGACCGATATATTCTACTGTCCGATAAAATTGCTTGTAAGAATAAATGTGCACTTGAAACCCATGTTATGATTATGAAAACATGAGAGTTCATTCTTGTAGGTTGTAGGCATGGCAGTATATTCTTTTACACGACCACGCTATAACCGATACACACTGTACTTCAACACATGGCCTTTGACGGGGGGGGGGGGGGGGGGGGGGTAAATACGGAGCATGACGTGGATCCCATAGAAGTTGGAACAGTGGGTAACATTGCTGCACGGAGATACATATCAGCAATAGAGATGCTCTGCTCTGTATAACAGGAACGGAATGGGACGCAAAGACTCCCATTGATCGCTCTTCGCCTATCCGTAACGTACGAGAAACCTGTTGGGCTCCATGTTGACGGGTACCAGAATGCCCTCTATACCAGGGTGGCAGATGCAGTGCCTAACGGCGACGGTGAGGTGGTAACTCTCACGACCAATGCCCGACAGGGGGCCAACCTCGTTAGCTGCATCTATGTTGCCCTCACTCCGAGTAGTGAGTAACCAGTTGCCTGTGGGTGTTGCCGCAGTTCATTGCATGTAAATTGGTTCACGCATGCATCACTGCATTTGTTAAAACAGGACACACTACCAGCTCCCAGTGCAGGTCTCGAACTCGGGACCTTGTGATTCGCAGGCAAGCCAACAAACACTCGGCCAGAGCGATGGTACTTTGTTGTCAAGCTCTCCAAATTATGTGGCATAAAGACCAAATAATTACTTGTTCCTGCGTCCCGGGGCACAAAAAGACTGAGATTCGGTTAAAATGTGTGAGCAAAAAAAGAGTTACAAGCTTGAAAAGATCCAAGTCCCTCAACAGGTACGTCCAAACAGTGAATACATAGTCATTGTATCTAATGTACACAGAAAATACTCTGGGACAAGAATAACAGAACACGGCTGGCAGCACTACTCTCCCTCGCCGCAATATCACTTATGTGCAGGTACGGCCAGGATGCAAATGACGATACCAGTTCACAAAATAGTAACTTGGTCTCCACTGCTGTACAGGCTGATGTAGAGGTAGAGTTCACCTGTCACTTTGTACAGTGTCTCGGTTGCTCTGGTACGCCCATGACGACCGACTAACGTGTGATTGTCACAATCCAATGACATGCGAATGACGTCACCGGCTCTCCATGGCTGACCCAGTGCACTGCCTGTCCAGTCACCACCACTAGTCCTATTGCTGTACCATCCAAACGATGTGGTCTTTCCCGTTTGCCAGTCGTCTAGTCGTGGATGCTGGGCATTACACAAGAAGAACATGTGGTGAACGTAACCAGCAGTGATGCGATCAAGACGAAGGGATATCTCGTGTTTGCCGTTACTCCATTTCCTCAAGCCACATACTGACCTAAACTTCCTGTTGCAAGCAGCTCCACGAATAACCGTACGGTTGTTGTTAGACAGTACAAGATCAGCATGACACTGGCTAGGATCAAACCGTGGTTGGGGATCCACAAAGGTAACCGTTGCAGGACTTCCAGCTACATGGTGATCTCCAATCATGGCTGATACCTGCACAGAACCCTTCTTTCCGGTCGTCTTGTACATTGCAATCATGTTAGTGCCTTCATTAGGACTACTGTCGGTTGGCAGCACAGGCTGAATGGTGTCGGTGGTGTTGTCCGCAGATGTTACGTCGACGTGAACGCCAGACAAATGTGCCTCCGACACAGCCAGACTATCACCGTGGCCATTCCTTGGCTCAATGATCACAGTAAGGTCGTCTCCCTCCTCAACACTGGCTGCAGTAGTCATGCTACTCTTCTCCGATGACAGAATACCAATGTCAATCACCACACCAGTTCTGGCAATGGCCGCAGTCAGTTCCTCGACGTGGCATGGTGAAAACGAAAGAGTTCCTGGAGCAAACTCCTTCACATCTCTCTCGGACGCACTCACAGCATCCTTCGCTGCTTCCTCCAGCCATGTACTCATCTTCAAGAAATTCACATCCTCAGTGCAGTTCTCTGCCAGATGTTGAACTTTCTTGCTATACAAGGCACCAGCAACTACCTGCCGCTTCTGCTCTTCGAGCCGGAGAAGATGTGACAACTGCAATCGATCCACCTCATCCAGAAGCTCCTGCTGACGTTTCTCAATGGTTTTCTTCAGACTACCAAAAACATCGTTGATCCGGGAGGACACAGTTTCTGTCTCATCATGGAGTCCACTCAGTGCCGCTTCAGACGTCTTAATTAACTCGTCAAAAACACTGCTACTTCCATGTGATGTTCTAGTCAGCTGGAATTTCAAGGACTGGCGAATGCTGGAAGATGCATCAGTGATAGTCTGCACATTGTGAGCAGCATGATCGCCACTGCTTACACATTGCTTACACACTAGCTGCTCACAACTCAAGCAATACGAACACTGTACAAACGAGGGGTGGAATGAGCATTTGTGATGGCTAGCTGATGTTCTATCACCTGTACATCCCGCAGCCTCACTGAGTGGCACAACCTTGTGCTTGTAAGTCCGGCGAGATGCAGGATGTGCTTCGCCATGCATGGCACAGAGACTGTCACTGCAATCCATACAAACAGCCACTGCTCCAGTATCCTCAGCACATTCATCACACAACTTTCTGGACTGTGTGCTAGCAGTAGTCTCATTCCCATCACTGGAAACATCACTATTTGGCAGGTACTGCAGCAAGGGCACACCAGCAGATGATGCTGGAGTGGTTGTTCCACATTCAGGACAACCCACAGAGCCCTTGCCACTGACGTGTTTTTCCAAACACTCCACACACAATGAGTGCAGACACTTCAACAGTTTGCCATGCTTATTGCTACTTCTACACGACCCACACTCTGGTCTGGACATGGCTGAAAGATATTCTCAATAAGCACTTCACTGAAAATAAACTTCTACAGCAAGAACAAATCTCATGACTATGAGTTCGAAAAAAACAGAAGTCGAGAAGTACAGCAGCTTTCGCCGGCGAAGAATCTCCGAGCAGTGAACAAAGGTGCAGGCAGGTGAGCGTGCTATGCTCAAACTGTCTTACTATGACAGACCACTACACGGGGTTCTCCTGCACTGCACAGGGCCTTTGAACGTTTTTTTGGCGCACTCTTGTCAAAGATAAGCCAGTCAGCCTGTCAAGGCATGTGACAAGTTTTACAAAGCACACGTACGGATCAACTAGGATCAACCCATGGGTGATAGCAGGAAGCCTCGTCTCCTGCCAGTTGATACCGTACTAGAAGAAAACTAGAAGACTAGTACATGTAGTTCCCTTGCATGCACACCCATTTGATACCAGTATAGAAATACGGAGCATGACATGGATCCCGTAGAACATTGGGTAACATTGCGGCATGCAGATGCATTTCGGCAAGAGAGATTCTCTCCTCTGCTTTTCGGGAACGGGATGAGACGCAAAGACCGCCATTGATCACTATTCGCATTCCCGTAACGTATGAGAAACCTGTTCTGCTCTATGTTCATGTAAAGAAATCACGTGGTACGTGTACTGTGAATTTTCGGTTCCAAATTTGGCACCTTCCTTCCTGACCGGAATGATACACAGCAGATCTGTACGCACTTTCTTTGTGTGTACCATAGCATGGAGAACCTCATCTCCGCGTAAAAATCTGGACCGAAACACACACCAAGCCGTAGACTCTAAACCAGATAACGTTGCCTGTTCTGTACGTGATTTCTCTACGTTTCCCATGAGGCATAACCACTCCAATATTGATACCCCCGCCCCCCCCCCCCCCCCCCCCCCCAAAAAACCATGGACACTGCAATTTCACAAATTTTCGGTGTACTTCTTTTATTTTCGGTGCTTTCGGTGAATCTGTTTCATACCTAAAATTTCAATAAACTGAACAAACCCTAACACACATATTCAAATAGGGGAACTGCTTCTCTGTAACTAAAGTTTCTGTTCACCTAGCCTGGCCTTTTGCCCTCATACCAAAAATATTGAGCACCTAAAATTTCTGAAATTAGAGTATACCTTGTCATTGGGATTCAAAGAACGTGTTTTGCAAGAACATCGGGGCTAGCTCGTCAAATTTAAGAACATGGCAGTGACCGAAATGACGCAGGACTCATGTCATACAAATTCCGCCCAGGGCTGGGAAATCACCAGT